GCAAAAGCTATTTGTAAAATAATTAGACTAAATTATTAAAAGTGCCTACCCAAAGTCATTATTCCACGCGGACGAAGTCGCGGGCACAGCTAGTTAATCATAAAAGGCAAATGGCATATTAATAACTAGTTTTAGAATATTTTATAAATGTAACAAAAGTAGTAGCAGGCGAAGCGTAGTTTTAGAAGCAACTACTTAGGTAGCTACATAATATTACATCGAATTTGAAATACATATTATTATGTCAGTTTTGTACGAATTTACCAACATAAATCTTCAAAAGACTCTTTGAATGGGTCTTGAAATTATTTACAAAAGAACCGCGACTTCATTTTTCATTTCAACAACTATTTTTATAGAAATAGTAACTTATATGACAAAATATAGTCATTTCTATCTATCGATTTCATTCAGCTAAGTAGGTTTCTCTTGTCTTTGAGCAGTGATGGATAGATTATAAAACTCATTAAAACTCATTTATTTCTGTAAATAGGCTTAAAAAAAGCACTTTACTATAGGAGAACATACGTATACATTAGCTGAGCCACCATTACCCAAGGTTAAAATAATAAGTAGTAATGCAATCCACATGTAACGTGTTCCCACGAGCTTACGTAGGCAAACAACCGACGTTTAGGCGCGATAATAACTCCCCGGCCCATGAATTGGCTAAGCACTAAACACTCTAAATGGAATGTCATTAACTCGTCACTTGAGGGGTAGTAATTTTAACCAATTACTATAACGACGATACCAAATATCATGGTTCGTTAGTATTTTTATTATTTCATGTTATATCGGTTCCATTTTTAATGCAGAACAAGGCAGGTATTTGACTCAATCACACCTTATATTAAGTGAATGCAGTCTAAGATGGTACATTAAAATATGGATCTGTTCTAGTCTGCAAGATTTTATCTGAATTAGAGAGAGAATTCAGTAAACCTATAAAAGTAGAGGCAGTGGCGGGGCAAGACCTAAATTTGATGTGGGCAAGACAGATTTCGCGAGGCCTTGTTCTGTGGCGACCTGAAGACGGATTTTATAAAAAAAAAACGGGTCAACGGTCTATTCATTGACAGTTTCTGATTTCTTGATTCAGTGATTATTTTTAAAGGAATATTGCGCCAAAGAGTCACTTAAAACCGTGTTGTTGCTTAATTTTGTGTCTGATTATGGCTGAATTTGTTTGGAAAAAAATATATTTTTTTAACTACATTGTTTAGCTATCAAGAATTTATATTTAATAGTCAATGTTTGCATTTATTGTTGTATTGTGATATTGTCATCTCCACCTTGTATACATTTTTTCAAAATTTTTGATGCGCGAGGCCCCTTGTTCCGCGAGGCCGTAGGCGGTGGCCCACGTTGCCTACACCTAACGCCGCCACTGAGTAGAGGCATATGTATGTATGTAGTTGCTTAGATGTGCGGTAGCTTCTAACTAAAAGCTCCACTTAAATCATAGCTCTGCGGCTGAGTATCTTACATTAGTGGAAGATAAACGAAAGTAAACCAGGCATACATCCAAGCCGCAAAATTAAATATGCATCAGATTATGAGAGCTTTACTTAATCCACGTAGTGCTCTCGAGAAGGGCTTTCGACTCGACGCTGGGTCGACTTGAATTATCAATGTGGACATGCAACCTGACCGCTTGATTCCGTCCTATCCTCTTTAGTTAAGCTCGAGAGGTCTCTAAGGCTGAGTTGCACCACCTAACTTTAACGGTAACTATTACGATAACCGTTGTATTTTGTATGGAGTTTGACAGATTTTTGACGTTTGTCACAGTTAAAGTAAGATGGTGCAACCCACCCTAAGGGTTTGCCAACAGGAAATTTAATAAACCTACGGCACTGACCATATTTCCTGGACAGGGGTAGGTCGGGGCGGATGTGCAGTAGCTACTAGGCATTAGGAAAGTTTTGGTTTACGTTTTGAAAGCAATAGAATAAACACAGTTTACTTTACTATCGAGGAGTCAAGAAATCTAAAAACTAGCGACCCTGGCTTCGCACGGGTGCGTGCTATCTGTTAAAAAAAAGCCGCATTAAAATACGTTGCGTAGTTTTAAAGATCTAAGCATACATAGGGACAGACAGACAGGAAAGCGACTTTGTTTTATAATATGTAGTGATACAATTTGTAACTGAGTAGTGCGCCATCTACGAAGTGCTACGAACCAACCGTAAATACCTATTTCTCGTCTTTTCACATTATTCTTTAGTGATTCTGTAGTTTACTTGGTGCTTGGAGGGGCTGACGATTGACTCGGATTAGAAAAGGTAAGTACCTACCTACTTTGTACTTTAATACTGACCCCTGAAACGTTTGATTTATTGCACATGTCTCATCGTTTTGTCTCTTCACTGTATTAACACCGGGAAATTCCCGGAAAACGCCTTCCCGGAACAAAAGAAACCATTGCGTTAATCCCAGTCTACATATCTACTTAGTGTAAATTGCACTTAAGGCTGTTTAACCCTTTGATTAATTGGTACAATGATTATACAACTTTGGACAACAAAGGAACAGTAATGTACACACAACGGGTATATGTTTATTTATATGGCATTACTGTGTACTATTATTACATTTTTGTGATACAACATCATGTCTTTCTTATTCATAGAATAATAATCTTACAACGACAATATTCACACTCATTATTTTAATCTTTAGCCCACGTACATGGCAACACTCAAACGGAGTTTAAAATGAACTGTTTCAGATAAAATTGTGATGTTTTACAGCGTGGCACGGTTCATAAATAAAATGAGGCGGGTATTATTCCCCGAGCATCCCGGCTGTCCGCGGGCGCAATATAAAATGCAGTAATGTGCAGGTGGGGCGCGGGCGCTCGTCCGAATGCTGCGCGCTCTCTGTGTGCTTACCATGAGTTTACGTTAGGTGTGCTTACCATGAGTTTACGTTAGGTGTGCTCGCTAGCGACTACGTAAAAAAATTACATTAATTGTATGACATATAGTGCAACGCCCCTAGCGGTTACTTTCAAGATACAAAATCTTCATAGAGATTTTTGACGTACTCGCTAGCGAGCACACATAACGTAAACTCATGGTAGGTGCACTGAATGTACGACTGACAGAGACGTAACTGGGACAAAGAGGGTGCGTTTATTTTTAATCGACTGCATGAAAGCATTGAAGTATGAAAGTTACATTCGTTTTTGAGAACATCTCAACCTAATGACAAATTACCCACTGATTTGCATCACAAATCATAATTCAATAGCTTTTACGCATTAGCGTTTATTCAATGATGCGTTCGAAGTTACATTAACCGAAACATTTATGCAGATTATCCAATTCCAAACCCATAAAAAGTATCCGCTGCCTTACGTCTTTCGGCTAAAATCGATGATCGATGATTGTTGTCGTAAAGCTTTTTCTATAATGAGTTTTGCTTTTATCACGTGACTTATTTGGTATAAGCATAAAATTATACTAAAGTAATCATTGGAAACGCAATAAAAACAAAAATGTACGTTAGTTGCCTTGAATGTTCGGTATTCACGGAAAAAGCTCAATGTTTTAACATTGAATAGTGAAGGAATGCTACGAATCTATGGCTACAGCGTAGCAACTTCGTAGTGCTACGAATTTAAAAACTTCAGAACTTCCGTAGCACAGAATCGCGATGAAATAAATGATGGAAATAGGAAGTAGGCCAGATATTTTGATGATCTTATTATGAAGACCTGAATAAGTTTTGTTTAGAAGTTCTGGTAAGGCTCATAGTACTTACTGTTTGCTAAAGTGAACGTCCTACGTTAGTACGTAAATTCACTTTATAGTTAGTTACACACCTGTCTAATATTATACCCCTTTGCGTGCGATTTATTTATACGCAAAGGGGCGAGGGGGAAACCCCAAGTCCACCCCTGTTTACGGCATGCCATGCTTGCAAATGCTCGCTTTCGCCGCGGGTGGAATGTTCACAATTTTATTTCATCGGACTTTTGTTCCCAGCAATTTATTATATTCATAATCGGCTCGTTACCTACCCCTTTTCACGGTTAAATAATGTTGTGCCAATGCCAGTAGTCGGATCGAATGCTACTTCCAGAAAATATGAATATTCATGCCTTGGCCTAATTCCTCTTTTAGGAAATTGTTGGAATATTTTGCGATGTAAATAAATCGTGGTAGAGCTTATAAAATTAAAAGCAATGGGTACGAGAAGGAATTTTAGGTTAGGACAAGGAATTTTAGGTAAGTCGGAAATTAAATGCTTAAAAATGTTAATTCCATTCGTCCCTTTTAAAATAACTTGAAATTAAAATGTTAATCTCTAGAGAAGTGTTCCAAGTTGTTAGAAATGTGGAGGAATAGAACTTTGGTTCTATGAAAATTGCATTACCGAATAGCTAAGCACATAACGGTTAGATCAATAGTGAAATAAAATGGAAATATATAACTAGTTCGTAGCAGAAAGTTTTTACAATTGAGAAATAGTAGAGCAAGCCGAAATCGTTTCCGTGCGCTCAGTTTGCGTGAGCTCGAAAGATGAAACAAGACATTCATGAATGAAAAATTATGAAATTGATTGTGTTTTTAAGCTCAGTAGGTGAGATGAGTCTAAGAAAACGTACAGCGAATGAAAAAATGAATTTCCCTAAAGTCTAATAACCTAAAATAACTTTCTTTGTTATGTCATACTACCGCGTAGCTGCGATGTTATAAAATGCGCTCAAAACATGATAAATTGTGACGAATATTACATAATAGTGATCTACCGACCTAAATGTTAACATAGTAGAATAGGTGTATAAAATCTTATTGTCGTATCAAAACGGTGAATTTAAGCTTTTATGCCATGGTACAGGCATAAAGTCAATCCTCCCAGTTTTTCTTGCTATTTGTAGTGTAGGTAGTTTCTTGCTATTTGTAGTGTATTCTCTTTAAATGACACAATGCTGTACTTAAAAGTTATTTTGATGATATTGTCATAAATATAAGTATTTTGAAATTTACCGTGCGTAAGTATATTAATGGTCTCGTTGTGGAAGTAGAAGAGGCTGCCGACGCAGCCGGCCCAGCTCTGCAGCGGCCGGTAGCCGGTGAGCACGTAGGGGTTGAACTGCAGGTGCTGCGGCATGTCCCGCCAGTGCAGCAGGCGCACGCCGCGCGCGCCCGCCGCCGCCGCGGGTCCGGCCTCGCGCGCGACCAGATCCTCCCGCCCCTCATTATCACAGATACGCTCTAACGACTTTTTCCTCTTCTTGGGACCCTTCCCGTTCACCTCCTGAATTGACATGTCGAACATATTTGTTGTTGTACACGAGTCAGGCACGCTCTGATTGTCTCTCATAACGGTACGGGCGGCTGCGTCTCGGGCCTCTCGCTTCGCCGGCTCTGAGACATGGCCTGGGGCCTTTGGTTTTGTACGAATATCACAGCTTCAGCATTGGGTGGGCGCACGCGGTGGCGGTGGCGGCCGGAGCGGCGTGGGCGCGGCCGGGGGGGGCGGGCCGCGGACGCGACTGGCCGGGCGCCGCCGCGAGCACGAGGGCCCGCGCCCCCCGCAGATTTGCGCACTGCGCAAACCCGATCAGCTGATTCCCGCCAGAAGGTCGGCCTCGCTCCCTTCTCAAAATCGCACTTTCACTCGTGCCTCGTATCTCGTATTTTCCAGTGATGAAAGTATGTTCGATTTCATGCGTGCTCTACTTTAATTGCCGATTTCAATGGGACTTCAATCCGAATATACACTTCAGTGCTGATGCAATAAATGATGCAATCAATTTATTTAGAAACACAATTTTATACTTATTATTATAAAATAACAAAACGGTTACGTTATCGGTGCTTTTCCTTAAAATGTTTTTGTTATTAATTGAGATTTCGTCATCGTACAAAAGTGCATACTTCCTAATTAGGATAGTATTGCGCTCGATATTTTCTCTTTGTATTTATGGCTATTTATTCGTGTACATACTACCAATTATTTACCTATGAAGAGCACTTCAAACAATATTAGAAGTGTTAAAAATGTAACTCATACATTGCATACTTATTTAGAACCAAAGTAGGTACCGTTTGAAGCACAGGAAGCACTTTCAGTATGAGTAAACCAGTTTTTCGATATCTATAGTTTTATTTAAAAATAGTCGAGTGAGATCACTTGTTAGACCGTGGTAGAGCTCAGCAAAATAAAATTGCACGCCCGGAATACTGTCACCACGAAGATTTATTTATTTATTTATATAGACTTTATTGCACACACAACAATGTTCAGTACAAAAAGGCGAGCTTAATGCCATAAGTCATTCTCTACCAGCTGACCTTGAGCAAAACAGAGATATTGAGTAGGCGATTAGTAGATTCTAGTTCATTGTCATATTTGTTGTGTCATACGTTATGTTTTGTCCGCTTTGATACTCTTTCAAGCCTCGTATTAAGCTTAGCGTGAGTATGAACGCTCACTTAGTGAAATGGGCATTCTCCTTTGTGATTTTGTACTTGAGATAATATCCCGGGCTCTCTCCGTAGGTCAACGAGGCGTAGGATGTTTCTCTCTTCTTTTATTTTGTACTTTCAAGTAAACTTATAACTTTCCGCCTCCGTATTCCTTTATGTTTCACCTACCTATGTGAGGCTTGCCATGAAATGAAAAATGTAGAGCTTTGTTTATTATAATCACCCTAATACTGAGGTTAAAACGAAATTTAACGTCTGCCGCTGTTGCGGGTTTGAATCCATGGCATACTTATGTGTGTTTATTATACCTTCTTATTACAAGCTTTTTATTACTTTCACATGTCTGGTGTCTGTCGTCAAATCTTGCAACTTAAAATTGACCCACTTCCCGGTTTCCTATTGAGCTGAAATTTTGCATACATGTGTAAGTCCGATGACAATGCAATATTATGGTACATTGAGCTGGTCTGATGATGGAGTCGGGAGGTGGCCATAGGAACTCCTAAACAGAACGGCGGAAACTCATCGAGTTTGGGTTCGTTGGATTTGTCTTTNCGCCGCCGCCGCGGGCCCGGCCTCGCGCGCGACCAGATCCTCCCGCCCCTCATTATCACAGATACGCTCTAACGACTTTTTCCTCTTCTTGGGACCCTTCCCGTTCACCTCCTGAATTGACATGTCGAACATATTTGTTGTTGTACACGAGTCAGGCACGCTCTGATTGTCTCTCATAACGGTACGGGCGGCTGCGTCTCGGGCCTCTCGCTTCGCCGGCTCTGAGACATGGCCTGGGGCCTTTGGTTTTGTACGAATATCACAGCTTCAGCATTGGGTGGGCGCACGCGGTGGCGGTGGCGGCCGGAGCGGCGTGGGCGCGGCCGGGGGGGGCGGGCCGCGGACGCGACTGGCCGGGCGCCGCCGCGAGCACGAGGGCCCGCGCCCCCCGCAGATTTGCGCACTGCGCAAACCCGATCAGCTGATTCCCGCCAGAAGGTCGGCCTCGCTCCCTTCTCAAAATCGCACTTTCACTCGTGCCTCGTATCTCGTATTTTCCAGTGATGAAAGTATGTTCGATTTCATGCGTGCTCTACATAATTGCTGATTTCAATGGGACTTAATCCGAATATACACTCCAGTGCTGATGCAATAAATGATGCAATCAATTTATTTAGAAACACAATTTTATACTTATTATTATAAAATAACAAAACAGTTACGTTATCGGTGCTTTTCCTTAAAATGTTTTTGTTATTAATTGAGATTTCGTCATCGTACAAAAGTGCATACTTACTTAATTAGGATAGTATTGCACTCGATTTTTTCTTTTTATAAAATTAATGGCTAATTATTCGAGTACATATTTTATTTACCTATGTAGAGCACTTCAAACAATATTAGAAGTGTTAAAAATTTAACTCACACATTGCATACTTATTTAGAACCAAAGTACCTAACTGAAGTGCTTTCAGAGGTGGAATTGTGTAAAGCAATCGTATTCATTTGACAGTTCATAACGTACGATAAAGTCAGTTAAACAAAGCGTTTGACAGAATAATCGTACGTTATGGAATGTCAAATGATTACGATTGCTTTACACAATTCCACCTCAGGATCAGTAAACCAGTTTTTCAGTATCTTGTATAGTTTTAAAATAGTCGAGTGAGATCACTAATCGTTTCCATCCAGCAGGTAGAGCCTCAGGGTAGAGCTCAGCAAAATAAAATTGCACGCCCGGAAAACTGTCACCACGAAGGTTCTAGTTCATTGTCATATTTGTTGTGTCAAACGTTATGTTTTGTCCGCTATGATACTCTTTCAAGCCTCGTATTAAGCTTAGCGTGAGTATGAACGCTCACTTAGTGAAATGGGCATTCTCCTTTGTGATTTTGTACTTGAGACAATATCCCGGGCTCTCTCCGTAGGTCAACGAGGCGTAGGATGTTTCTCTCTTCTTTTATTTTGTACTTTCAAGTAAACTTATAACTTTCCGCAATACTCCGTATTCCTTCATGTTTCACCTACCTATGTGAGGCTTGCCATGAAATGAAAAATGTAGAGCTTTGTTTATTATAATCACCATCATAGCTGGGCACCGTTAATCAAATAGTTAACTTCGTTAATCGTTAAACCGTTAATAAAAAAATTAACTTCGTTAAACGTTAAAACGTTACATTTAGCAAGATTTAACGCAAGTTAACGTTAATCGTTAATCCGTTAACACATGATAATAAAACGAAAAAAAAAATTTCGAAAGCTTGTATATCACGCATGGAATTTATTCCTCTTTTATGTTTGCATAAGTACAATTATTTTTTTCGTTTTAGTAACTACAACTGCATTTCAGAATAAAAGCTTGTTTTTAAAAAAGTTTTTCAATATTATAATTTTATTTTACACTTTTTATTATTAGTATCTCAATCTCAGAGCCTTGGTTCAATTACAATACAATTTAGCACCAAAGTGCTCGAAAAGACAAATCCAACAAACACAAACTCGATAAAGTTCCACCGTTTCGTTTAGGAATTCCTATGATATAATTTCATCAATTAATAATGATACTACTTTTTAATATTAAAAACATAACCGTATTTTTTGTAATATTTGCACATCGTACATGTACGATAGAATATGTTGGAAACTTCTCTTTTTATAACCATTTGTAACCGTATTCTGGCAAATAAATGATTTATTATTTATTATTATTATGTTTTCTTTATTTTTGCTCGAAGTCCCTATGGTCTTCGGTTTTAACCATAACTCATTTATTTATTATTATTATTTTAGTTTTTACACTTAAGTGTCTCAGCTTTAAGCCGGTATTTCAGGAATGTACGGGCCTAAGCCAAGTACATTCCCACCCAATACAAATAGTGATTTACGTCGGTTGGCAAGGATGATCATGGTCCTGAAGAAATTTGCGAACTATTCGGCAAGTATTTAAAATGACTGCTTTCTGAAGTGAAATATATGTAAGTTCTGGGATGTTTAGGGTGGAAAGTGATTGGTGTAGCTGCTTTGGAATAACGCCTGTGGTAGATAGCACAATTGGCACAATGTTTACCTCATTTAACCTCCACATTCTTTTTACCTCATCTTTTAAATCTATATATTTGGATAGTTTTTCTGCTATTGAATTTTGTAAATTATGCGTGTTAGGTATTGCTATATCTATTATGTATGCGGTGTGTTTATCTTTATCATGGACGGTGATATCTGGCCTGTTAAAATGTGTTGTCTTGTCTGTAAGTATTGCACGGTCAAAATAGAGTCTGTATTTGTTGTTTTCAAGAACTGGTTCAGGGGTGTATTTATAGTAAGGCGTGAGTTTGTGTGGTATGAGCTTAAACTGTTGGGCTAGCTTTTGGTGGATAATGTTAGCTACTTGGTCGTGACGATGTTTGTAGTCTGTCTGAACAATTGATTTGCATGCGCCAGTTATGTGCTGTATAGTTTCAGAATTACTATTACATTTCCTGCAAAGGTCTGTCGGTAGGTTACGGATCTTCATAATGTGTTTCTGATAATTTCGGGTCTCAATTACTTGGTCTTGTATCGCAATCATGAACCCTTCAGTCTCAGGGAAGAGTTCGCCTCGACTTAGCCACGCGTTCGACGCCACTTTGTCGACATTTGGTTGGCATAGGTCGTGACGATGTCTTCCATGTAGAGACTTCCGGGCCCAATCATGTATCTTTGTTCCAGTATCATTTTGTATTTCATTAGGTTGATTCGATCTGTCCTGTAAATTAAGTGGAGTAAGTTTAGTATCGCTTTGAACTGCCGCTTGGTGGAGAAGAGATGTGTTAGCTTTTTGGTGGAAGTAAGATCGAAGTGAAGTAATTTGTTTATTGTGTAGATTTTGGATGTCTATTAGGCCTCTTCCACCTTCAAATCGAGGCGGAGTCTGTCGTTGTATACATGCTCGCGGATGATGCTTTCTGTGTTTTGTCATTGTTGTATTTATTGTTGTTTGTATGTTCCTGAGCTCTGTTTTTGACCAATTAATGATACCAAATGAGTATGTCAAAATAGGNAT